CGCTCTGTATCCGAGTACATCCCGTGCTTTGCTATACTACAGCGTTAATTCTTTTGTCTATTTTATAAAAGAAATAGAAARCTCTGTTATAACTAAAGGTTATAGAGCACAGGGGGTTTGAAAAGAACACAATAAAGGTAGGTAAAGATTGAGAGACACACGATGCGAGGAACAGGCGCGAGTTTTCTATTTAGGTTTCTATTAATTCGACTATTGTATAAAAACTGCTAATGTATGAGATTAATACGTAAGAAAATTCCTATTTCATAAGCTTATAAACTCTAAATTTTTATATGGATCTATGATCCTTGTTTAGTTGTAGAAAGAACCCATTTTTGATAATAACGATGATACATATAAGAGGTCCACCCTCTAGAATATTCATTTACAGCCCCCCAACAGTTTGTAATAACGATACTATGAAAATTAATACTAGATCTGCTTATAATCTGTGATCGAAATAATATTTTTTCACATTGGGTCCCAAAACCAACCTTTTGGCACCCCYTGGTGGTSTTATTTAAATTTTTGAATCCTTAAAACACTTCAATATAAATATATAAATCTATTATTCTATTGGCGGAACTGCAATAACGTTGATAACCCACACTTGCAGTAGGGCGGGTTCTCCACCAYTGGTTAACAAACACGGGTTGACCACCACGTGCCGACCACCAGGTGTTGTATTCGAGAACAAAACATCGAGARCAAGCTGTGTTTTTACATGGCCTTCCGACCAATCGAGCCATTCACTGAACCATTTGGTATTCGCTTTTTGGCTTCGAATAGTGTAGTTTCATCGCTGTCCTCGTCGGAATCGGTTAACGTTAAACTCGAATATTTGTCTGGAAAAGARAAAGAAGAAAGTGGTTTGCCAGTCATTAACTTATTCATTTTTTCAAGTATTAAATATTGATCTTTTTTATTTGTTTATTCTCTTATCCAATTTATCCAATATTCATTTACATTTGGATAACATTTACCTTCGTTTCGGTAATATTTACGTTTCGGTAACATTTACTCAAGTTTCGCTTGCATTGACTTACGTTTCGGTAACATTTACCTACGTTTCATTAACATTTACTTACGTTTCAGTAACAATTACTTACGTTTCGGKAACAATTACTTACGTTTCGGTAACAATTACCTACGTTTAAGTAACATTTACTTACGTTTCGGTAACATTTCCATACTTTCAGCTTTATCATCATCATCTTCATCAATAATTTCATAACGGTGACGTCTTCTTGATCGCCCTCGTCTTCGTCTTAAATACAAACATAGTATTAGTATTGAAAACATAATATGAAGGAAGGAAGGAAGGAAGGAAGGAAGGAAGGAAGGAAGTGAAATGGAAAGAATAAGAAACTGAGAAAGAAAGGTGAAATGAGTAGTTCATACCCAGAAGATTCTGCAGCAGTTGAATCAGAGAAGATAGGAGGATCCACTGATACAACTTTGTCATCGAGAAGACGGCGACGACGGCGTGAGATTCTAAGCGAAACATTGCGATGAAGGAAAGAAAAGGCATTCAAAGAGAATAAGAATATGACATTTGCTGGTTTTCCGTGATTTAGAAGACAAAACATCGGTGGCCATGTTAGTGGTAGGTTCATGAGAAATCTCTTATTGAAGCACCACAAACATGGCTGCCATGCAAGTCAACATTGAAATCCAGCAACTGTGAGAAGAAGTAATATTCTGAATGAAGTAGAGATTGAAAATAAAGATTGTACCAAGTGTGTTGGAACGATTGTGAATGAAAGGCTAACAGATTATTACGTGATATTAGAACAATAATGTTGTCATACCTTCCCAGACAGAAGCATATTCCCCATATTAYACCACCAATACCCATCACGATACCGAAAATAATCACAGTCACATACAAGATACTCCAATCTAATAACATAAAATAGATGAAGTTAGCGCTARCAGAACCAGGTTTATRAAACATAWGCTAAACTTACCACAATTACTTTCTTTAACCCCAAAACTAGATTTAAATATATCTTGCATCCAAAAACTTTCACAAACGCATAGCTTAGTTCGTCGATCACAGTAGCCATGGAAAGAACAGTTGTTTCTACATACTAGTGAACAAATCAAAGGCACAATGATTAAAACGACCTCCAGTGATGGCGCTTAACTACGACTTAACTGCACTTTAACTGCACTTGATTAGGATTTGTCAAATTCATGGACAATGAACGAGGATAAAGCAAAGACAAATCACTAAAGTGAAGGCGTTTGGAAAATATAAAACATGAACAAATTACGTCAGTGTTTGCTATGATTTTTTTAATTAATTCTCCATGAATTTGAGAACAAATCCCAGTCGTGTTTTATTTGGTTTCCCAATAGTTGAAAACTTTTTAAAAACTTGGCCAAAAAATTTCTTAGATGAAACAGTTTGTAATAGGTAGAGTCTTTCAACAATAAATGCAGTAATGATGGCTTTCATTTTATTGAACTTACTGTATGGCTCAACTTTTAACATCCTGAACTCAAAAAATCCCTCTTCATTTTCTATCTTGGCCTTGAGCATTTCTGCGACTGCTTGGCCGTCTTTGGCCATACTCCCTCCCTTGACGTAGAACATTACCATCATGCTATTA